AAAACATTGGTATCAATATTATGAAGTTCAAAATTTTAGTTTGACATTTTTATGAATCAGAAAAATATACCTAAATTTTTTATATTTAATTTAAAAACTAAAATATTTAAATAATAGTGAATCAAATTAGGTAAAAAATTAATAGTATTATTGATTAATGCAGTTACTTAACTCAAAACTTTTCAACATTATTTCAAATTTCTATATGAGCTATTTTTTTAGAAATAAAATAATACAACTTGTTGAAAATTTAAACTTACATTGAGAACTGACATATTAGGATTGACTTTAACGTGAATTCTCATACCATTATTTCCACTAACTACCAGATTCGTAGTCATATCAAAAACAAAACGACAATTAAATAGTATACCTCTAAATTAATTTCTTTTAATCTCTTAATCTTTAAATTTAATACGAACAATATTTAAATCAAATACTCGTTTATACTAATTAATACTCATTAAAGTCACCTGATTCTTTGTGATAATGCATAANTGTTTATACTAATTAATACTTAGTAAAGTCACCTGATTCTTTGTGATAATGCATAATTAATAATGGACGCTTTTTCTTATCGCTAGATGTAGCCACATAATACCAAAAACAATCTACTAGCTGTAACTGGTGTATGGTCTAGTTGATAAGACAAATCGGCGCCGTCACTGGCAGGGCCGGATTTACCTACAAGCTAAATAAGCATTGCTTACGGCCCTCGAAAAAATACGGCCCGTAAAATGTCCGGTATATGAAAATAAAAAATATATTATATGACTAGATGACCCGGCAAACGTTGTTCTGCCATATGAATTATTAAATAAATCAATCCTAAATATAAATCATTATCTTATATCTAACAAATATACTAATTACCTAATATAAACAATTACCTAATTCGATCACTGGTGCTTCTAAAATATTGAGTACTCTAATGATCCCGGAGATTGGAATTTAACATCCCATAATGTAATATCTTACTTAATAAAAAAAGGTCCAAAATTCTTTCAAAATATAAATGTTGACTTTTCCTTAACAAAAAATATTATGAAAATCCTAAAGTAAATCGTTGTTTGAACAAAACTGCTTTTTTCTATACAAAGTCTAATGGTGATTATTGTATTAGAGAATGGTTACTTTATTCACCAACTAAAAAAATGATACATTGTTATTATTGTATTCTTTTTTCTAAAAATGACATTATGTGTGATGGGTATGATAATTGGCGAAATGTTCAAAAATTTCTTGAAAATCATGCGAAAAAAGGAAATCATGTTTTGGCAATTAGTATGTACCTAAATAGAATGAAACTATCAGATAGAATAGATAGTGAATTAGAAAAACAGTTAACTGAAACACGCGACTATTGGAAAAACGTATTAAGGCGCATAATTGAAACAATATTATTTTTATCGGGACGTGGTTTACCATTTCGAGGTTCAGACGAACACTTCGGGNGGGACGTGGTTTACTATTTCGAGGTTCAGACGAACACTTCGGGTCAAATCGTAATTATCTTGGAATATTGGAGCTTCTTTCAAAATTTGACCCATTTTTAGTCCAACATATTGCAGTACACGGAAATCAAGGGAAAGGACACACATCTTATTTGTCCAAAACTATTTGTAACGAATTTATTGCATTTATTGCAAAAAAACTCGTACAATGATTATAGATCAATTAAAAAAGCCGGTTATTTTTCAATAAGCGTTGATTCTACTCTTGATATTACCCATATGGATCAATTAACTATTATTTTGAGATACGTAAATAATGATGGACCAGTAGAACGTTTCATTACTTTTATTCATATTACAAGTCATACTGGTGCAAATCTTGCTTTGTGTTTACTTAACTTTTTGAAAGAAAATGATATTAACATAGAAAATTGTCGTGGGCAGAGCTATGACAACGCTAGCAACATGAGCGGGACTTATACTGGTATGCAAGCAGAAATAAAAAAGAGCAATTCATTTATTGATTATATTCCGTGTATTGCACATTCGCTGAATCTCGTTGGACAATCTGCTGTAGATTGTTGTATTGAAGCAGTTTCATTTTTTGGTTTTGTCCAAGAAGTTTACAATTTTTTTTCCGCCTCTACCCAACGCTGGGATATTTTAAAAAAAACTTTAGTAAAAAATTGTCCACTTCCTAAATCCAAATCAGTTACTAGATGGAGTGCAAATGCTGAGGCTGTTAAAGCGTTATTTATAAGTTACGAAAATATTAATGAAGCGTTAAAAAAAAATTCAAAATGATACATTTCAAAAACAATCAACTCGACACCAAGCTTCTTGTTTAAGCTTAGTATTCGGTTATTTAGAAACTGCCATTATGTGTGAATTATGGCATAATATAATGCCATAATTCGAACCATTTAATAAGTGTAGTAAAAGTATTCAAAGTGGTGTAATTGATTTATACACTGCAATTAATTTAATTGAAAGTCTTAAAATTGTCCTTCAAAATATAAGAAACCAATATGATGAATATGAAAGTATTGGCATGAAAAGGGCTAAAAATAAAGATTATAAATTAACTACGCATAGAAAAAAATTTAAAAGAAACGAGAGTAGTTTTAATGAACTAAATGCAAAAGAATCGTTTAAAATAAATACTTTTTATTTAATAATTGATCAACTTTATAGTGCTTTAGTACATAGAATTAACGCTTATACTAACGTAAGGGATAATNAACTTTATAGTGCTTTTAGTACATAGAATTAACGCTTATACTAACGTAAGGGATAATTTTAAGTTATTATCAGACATTTCAATGGACATGAAAATGGAAGACATAGAAGAAGGAATGGATAAGTTATTAAAAAGGTATTCAAAAGATTTCCCTGATGATTTTAAAAATGAGTTTCAACAGTTTCTAAGTTTTTCGTCAACGTCTTTATCATTAATTACAACGAACGAAAATAAGAAGAAGAATATTTTGCTTAACATGTATAAGATGATAGTTGATTTAAATGTGACTGAGAGTTTTCCAAATGTTGAACGGTTATTACGTTTATATCTTTCTCTTATGTGTACCAACTGTACAGGTGAAAGATCATTTAGCTGATTAAAATTATTAAAAAACGTTTTAAGATCTTCACTATCACAAAATAACCTACAAAATCTTGGAATTTTAAGTATTGAAAGTGAATTTGTAAAATCTCTAGACTTTGAAGATGTGATCAAAAATTTTGCAAATGAAAAAGCTAGAAAAAAAGAATTATGTTTTGATGAAGGGGATAAACAATTAGATAGTTGCGACGATGACAGTGACTAATTTTATAATAATTTATGTATTTACTTATAATTTAAAAATTTGCTTATAAAGTAAAAATTTTCAATTTAACATGGTTTTGTATTAAATCTTATTTATAAAATAAGATTTACAAAATAAAATAAAAAAACAAAATAAACATTTTGTTGTTTGTAGTATTCACTTCCCCCTAAATTTATAGAAAGACTATATATAACAGAAAACAATAATATTCATATATTTTACTCATGTTGCTTATATTTATAAGGTAATAATTAGGCCCATCTAAATCATCTGCTTACGGCCCCCAAAGTACTTAATCCGGCTCTGTGTGTACTACTACTAAACTATAATATTACNGTCACTGGTTATCCCGCAAACTTTACGGTGTTGTGAATACGATGGATTTGCCGTACGTGTGATGGATTATATAATCTGTGCTGTTTCCGTCAAACGGTAGAAGGTAGTTGAATACACCAGATATAGTCCGATCACTGAAGTTATGGCCATATTAGATTATTAAATTCCACGACACTTATAAATTGTATATATGTATTCATTTTGTTTCATTGTAATATTTAGTTGTTAATTAGTAATGTAAGTGGTAACGCCCAAACATAACTTGATTAATAATTATATATTAATATTGTTGTTATAGGCACATCCTATTTTTTTTTTGTTTTCTATAACTAATAAAGTCAAAGGAGTTCTCTCTATCCAATCCTTAAGTTAGTTATGCTGACCGAGATTTTAGGAGCCTGTAGACGAACAGTAGCCTTTAAAAACACGAAATCTTACATCACTGATAATACTATACTCATTCGATCTAAGATTACTGATTCGCAGATCCATATTTTCTATTAGGCACAGTAGACAGCTTCCTATGGCCATCGTTTATTAAGGGCCTTAGATTTTTAGATAAAACCTTATTTTTCTTATAGTGTAGCATTTTCATTGTATAATATAAGGATGTCCCCTTATATTATATTTCAACCTTGCCTTGAGCTTCAAAATACTAAAATTAAGCTCTGCTGATAAGCTTTCAATATTATATTTATCCCAAAAACTCTTACAAGGTGTTAAAAATGACTTTTTCAAGTGACATATCAATTTGTTCGTTAAGTCTTTGAGTAAGTTCTCTTTTTAAAATTTTTTTTTTAATATTAAACGAGTAAATAATGAAAATTTATTAAAAAAAAATTATAAATGTTGAAGATGCGTTCAATTTCAGAGTTTTTTCCTTAGTCACTCAATATTAAGTTAAATAAAATCAAGTGTCACCTGAATTTATAAGAGAATTCTGCGAATTATGTATGATTTGACTTATTTTTGTACTTAATGAAATCCTAGGGTTAAAAGTTCGTGATTTTAGATTTAGAAAAAAATCTAAAACAAGCTTTTAAGTACATTACCATTAATTATCTAAAAGGATTGATAGATACTAACAAAACTTGTAAGAAAAATAAATTTATTAAACTAGTTTCTTAACGCTAGAATTTTATAATGTTATTATTGGACACACATTGATGTATTGTCGAAAAATTGTGTTATGATTATTAATGATATTGTCGTACTACACCGGGTTGTTGTTGGTCTTCTCTCTATGTCTGCGTTGTCGCCGCCATCTTAGCGTTTTTCAACTATAAGCTCTATGGCGCTTGCGAAACAGTAGTTTTGTATTCGTTTTGTTGTAAAAGTAAAATATCACCTTTGCGATCGTCGCATCATTGTGCGCTCAGTATATCGCCGTTGGGTCTATATATTTTCTGAGATACATTAAAATACTGTTCATAAAATATTGTACACGTTGGTCAACTAATGGCATTTGATTTCAATTGATCCTTTCAATATACAACATTATCATCTACCGTTTCAACTAGCCGGTAAGTATAATCTTCTGATCGTCTTCTTTTTAAGACTTACTCACATTTATAATTTATTATTTGTTCATATCATCGCCATTGTGGCATTAGTATTAAGTGCCCTACCTATCCACATTAGTGTATATATTCAAGTATTATACATTTAATAAATATATATTGTAAATTCATTCTACATTTATTCATACAGTCCAGTCACCCTATTATTTTTATTCGACATAGTCAGACTTAAGATAAAATAAAACAACGATCGTTAATGGCACCGACCGGAATAATAACGGGCGCTGCGTTTATTCATTAGTCCTTCGAGCATAAATATTTATTTGTTTTAATCATTACAATATAATGTATTAGAGGCATTTTAAAGTAAATCTGGAAGAAAAGACTCTCATTGGAGTACATACTTTATAAGATAGTTCTGTAATTTTCATATCACTAATGATATTGGTGCATGAGAATTGCTGTGATCACACTGTATGAAATTAAACAATTTATAATTATAATAATAAAACAATATATTTTCCTTTTATATTTATTCCAATATATTTTTTGAAAATTGGGTAAAATTTGTAACGTCACAAATTCGAAGGTGGACCGTTTGTGATTTTTTGTTATGTCTACTTATTTGTTAAATAAAGAAGAAAAAACCTTTTTCTGACACAGCGGTGTCAACCACTCATTATTTTACCGCTGACCACTAGATAAGGCGATAAAAGAGAAATATAATTAAAATCGCATTGTTTATCAGTATTGATCCCTTCCAAAAAGACTGGCCGTTATCGATTTGAAATTGCCGTTAGATCGGTGTTGACTCTTCTCTATTCTTTTCTTCTGTCATTGACCGTGCTAGGGTGCACACGTTTATTTTTTTATTAACACTTTTTTTACAATGATGGAGCTATATTTTATTAATTATTTTATTGTAAATTACCTTAATTTTGTTTATATGTGGAGAGCACTTGTTTCCCTTTTCTTCTAGCCAACGCTAAGGAGCGAGTGTCCAGACCACTCCTAGTGTCCTTCATTAATTTCCGATTAACATTAACGGATGTGTTCCAATACCGTCCATGATGTTTGTAATATTATTTGTTTGTTTTGTTTAAATATTTTATTTTATTTGTATTGCTTTTATTTGTAGACATGGTTTTTGATGCATTCGCATTTTAGTCCATGTTTAACTTAATTTTCTTTTTTTAACAATTAAATTAAATTTCCTTATTAATTTCAACTGTAATATTTATTTTATTGCGCGAGTAACTTAATTACTCGCGTGTATTTAACCCTATTCTTTAATCTAGACACGGGCTACGATATGTTTTACATATCACCCACAAACAACTTTAAGTGTCATAATTGTGTTTAATAATACATGAGGTATTATAGTAATTTATACATATAACGACATATTAACATTAGATTATACTTTTAATTAACTTAAAATTAAATTCCACCTATGGTCCGGTAATCATATATATTATACATCATTTATATTTTACCAACTTTTTACCTATTTTGCTTATTATTTTTGAATTATAACATAAGTCATTTGGAAATATGGCAACAAATTATTAATTTCCTCGATCCTTAATTCTGCTACTTTAATATTAGAGGCAGCTACCTTTTTAAATTCTTCTATTTCCTGCATCTGTAATTTTCATAAGAGAATAATTAGACATTATATGAATAAATAGTAAAGTTTAAAAGCACAAAAATAAAATCTTTAAATTTTATTATTTTTACTTTTATACGGCTATTAACAAAAAAAAAAAACAATTCTTATTGAGGTTTTTTTTATATTTCTCTTAATTAGCTGGTACAAAATGATGTGGTGTATTTTTCTTTATCGATTTGCTGAGCAATAATAGAAAATTAATATTACTTTTGAATTTTCATACATATAGGAGATATAGAGCAGTATTTCATAGTTTTTGGCAATAAAACATTAAGAATTCAACAATAAAAAAAATCAATCCTAACATTTATGTGTAGTATGGTAATAATGGATGGTACATTCATCGAAAATAAGGCTTAGTTAAAAAGTAAAATTTGATTATTTTTCCAACTTCATACAACACTTTACTTTATTCACATTACAAAATTCAAATCTGAATGCAATATTTTTAAAGACAATTTTCTAAAGAGTAATTAAAATATATATGAATAAACAAAGAGAATATGTACAGTTTTTCTTTCAGAGCTATCAATAAATGCTGTATATTTGTCTTCGGGATATGGAATTTTAACGGCGTTGTATTGCTTTTCGAAATTCTCAACTAAACCACCAGCCATAGGAATAGCATTCTTGTACTTGGTCCAATCAATTTTAGGTGCTTCTGGGGATAATGCAAACATTCTGCAAAATTATTCCATTCAATATTTAAAATATATATATTAGTAATATAAATTTATATCATTTTTTTTTTGTTACTCATTTATCACATTATATTAATCTATAAAATTTTAATTTAAGAAATATTTAACGATAACACATTTAATCCGGTCAAAAATGATCTTTACATACTTTCGGAGGTACCCATCAGATTTAGCTTTAAAAGCTAAATAAGCAGCTTTTTCAGCTTCAGGAACACGTTCACTAATAGCAATCCAATTAACAGACGACTGAGCAATTCTTCTAGCCATTTCAATTAATATAATAACTTGTATAAAAAATGTATAACAAAAGCACACTTTGTTTGAATTTATTCAATTTACAAATGCATTCTGATTCTTACAAATTATTTATATTATCACGCAGCTGTTGCGATAGCAACGATATATCGATATACTGTTTCGATATATCGATTTTTTTATATCGATATTTATATTTAAATTTGTATTTTTTGTTAGTTTGTCTAGCCAGTAAAAAATTTTAAATGTTTATAAATACATTATACTTCAAGTTATATGCAATAGCAAATAAAAGCTCTTTTTACGGCCGGTGACCGTTGAAACAGAAAACATGTTTTATGACATTAGTGCACGAGAATAGCTGTGATCACACTGTATGAAATTAAACAATTAATAATTATAATAATAATACAATATATTTTCCATTTATATAAACATTTATTCCAATATATTTTTTGAAAAAATGGGTAAAATTATAATGTAACTAACAAAATGAATAAATTAATGACCAGCTTAAGCTTTTTTTTGTCTTCCTGACCCTTCTTCTTGTGGCTCGTCAAATACATAATCAATTTCTTGATGAGGCCAGAATGATGGCTTGTTTTCAAGATCTAATGTCAAATCAGGCTCAATATAAGCAGCATCTTCATAAGTCATTTGGGAATATGGCAACAAATTCTTAATTTCCTCGATCCTTAATTCTGCTACTTTAATATTAGAGGCAGCTACCTTTTTAAACTCTTCTATTTCCTGCATCTGTAATTTTCATAAGAGAATAATTAGACATTATATGAATAAATAGAAAATTTAAAAGCACAAAAATAAAATCTTTAAATTTATCTAATAATTTCACTTTAATATTTTATGAAGTCAAATATATATATATATATAAATTTTTCTTTTTTTAATTTAATTTTAATTGGAAAATGTTATATAAAATCGAATTTTAACACTTTTTATCTTAATTCTTCATTTTCTAACTATCTTACTTAAAATTTTTATTTTTTAATTAAAATAATTAATTCAATCGCCTTTAACTCTAAGCTTTATTTTAATTCTCTTTTTCAATCAAATAGTACTTTTCTGGATATTAATATTAATATACATGCTTAAAATTTTTTTTTTGTATTTTATTTTACTTCACGCTTGCCTAAAACTTTTTTCTTTTTATTTATTATTTTGGTTTTATCAAAATTTAAGTAGAAATTTTCAATAAAAAAAAAAAAATTTTTTAAGGTATTAAAAGGTCAGTAATTTTTTTATTAAAAAAAATTCAAATACTTTAATTTTGAGAATATTTTTTTTAATTAACCCCCTTAGTAAAATTAAACTAAGTCTGCTGTTGGGCGCCACTTGTAGTGAATGAAAAAAGAAAAAATAATATAATAATTTATATGTATTATTAATATAAAAGGGGGTTATTAATTTAGGGAGCACTTTAAAGTTACTTAAAGAAATAAATTAAATAGAATATGACGGGATTTGGGTTCTTATTTGATCCACTACTTTATTGTATTAATAATATTATTATTCGGGTTACGAGTACGAGGGTCTGTAAGAAAGATAGAAGATGATAGAACAATAAAGTGATCTTTATTTTATTAACATGTGATTCATTATAATTAATTATCAATTTTTAAATATCAATAATGCCACTAGTTTTGACGGTTATCGATGATAGGTGGGATTGAGTCATCTCGTGTGTCTACCCAGAGTGGTATGGTGGCTATACATATGAACCTCCAAACTAACTCCTGAAATAGACACGTATCAACAATATAACCCTGCCATGTAACTCTGTACAAACATTATCGATTTATTAAATAATCCTTATTTATTTTTGGTGAATTTATTAGATTCCTACCTTGATATTTTCTGCGATACTCTTAAATAAATAGATGTTGTATTTTTCGTACAAATATAATTGTGTTGACGGCGGATCACTTTTTGCATATATTTTGTTATGTGGAATGAATAAATTAATGATCAGCTTAAGCTTTTTTTTGTCTTCCTGACCCTTCTTCTTGTGGCTCGTCAAATACATAATCAATTTCTTGATGAGGCCAGAATGATGGCTTGTTTTCAAGATCTAATGTCAAATCAGGCTCAATATAAGCAGCATCTTCATAAGTCATTTGGGAATATGGCAACAAATTCTTAATTTCTTCATTTTCTAACTCTGTACAAACATTATCGATTTATTAAATAAACCTTATTTATTTTTGGTGAATTTATTAGATTCCTACCTTGATATTTTCTGCGATACTCTTAAATAAATAGATGTTGTATTTTTCGTACAAATATAATTGTGTTGACGGCGGATCACTTTTTGCATATATTTTGTTATGTGGAATGAATAAATTAATGATCAGCTTAAGCTTTTTTTTGTCTTCCTGACCCTTCTTCTTGTGGCTCGTCAAATACATAATCAATTTCTTGATGAGGCCAGAATGATGGCTTGTTTTCAAGATCTAATGTCAAATCAGGCTCAATATAAGCAGCATCTTCATAAGTCATTTGGGAATATGGCAACAAATTCTTAATTTCTTCATTTTCTAACTCTGTACAAACATTATCGATTTATTAAATAAACCTTATTTATTTTTGGTGAATTTATTAGATTCCTACCTTGATATTTTCTGCGATACTCTTAAATAAATAGATGTTGTATTTTTCGTACAAATATAATTGTGTTGACGGCGGATCACTTTTTGCATATATTTTGTTATGTGGAATGAATAAATTAATGATCAGCTTAAGCTTTTTTTTGTCTTCCTGACCCTTCTTCTTGTGGCTCGTCAAATACATAATCAATTTCTTGATGAGGCCAGAATGTTGGCTTGTTGTCAAGATCTAATGTCAAATCAGGCTCAATATAAGCAGCATCTTCATAAGTCATTTGGGAATATGGCAACAAATTCTTAATTTCTTCATTTTCTAACTCTGTACAAACATTATCGATTTATTAAATAAACCTTATTTATTTTTGGTGAATTTATTAGATTCCTACCTTGATATTTTCTGCGATACTCTTAAATAAATAGATGTTGTATTTTTCGTACAAATATAATTGTGTTGACGGCGGATCACTTTTTGCATATATTTTGTTATGTGGAATGATCGAGCGTAGTGAGTGCCTCTGTGAATATCTGATTGCATATGTCTTTGAATGCTCTTTTTTTTTGGCTTTTTATATTAAATTTGACCGTAGTTCAAAGGCAAGAAGTGATCCCCGACGCCACCTTTATTTCTTTATTAATCGTAATTTATTACATTTTCATCAATAATGATCTACATATTATAAAATACTATCATATCTTATATAATAATTTAGAAAGAGTTCATTACCCTACATCTTAGTGCTACCATTACATATTGTTTATTATTTCCTGTTTGTTTTATATAATTATTATATGATCTATTCTACGAAATTTCATTAGTATTTTTAAACATTTAAAAGGTACATCTATATATCTTATTTTTATTGGTATACATTTTAATTTGTTTAATTGATTGATTGAAGTTTTAAATTATACATTATGACATTAATGATCTAATGTGTATAAAAATAATTTATTATGATATTAATGATTTACTATGTATATCATTACATAGTAATGATGGCTTGTTTTCAAGATCTAATGTCAAATCAGGTTTAATATAAGCAGCATCTTCATAAGTGTCGTAATATGCTCAATGCTTTGCATTACGAAATTAGATTCTACTTATTTTTATTACATTCGTAATACTATGAAAATAACTCAAGATTTTAAAACTATAAGTTTGCAAAATATATTTAATAAAATGATTTCATTTTTATTAGGTAAACCTATACTTTACAATTATAACTTAAATTCTCATATGAAAAATATTAATTTTAAAAGAAACATATTAAATTCTAAAAGTATATTTTATAATTCTTTTAATAAATATTATTGGTCTTTTAAAAACTATATACATTTTTTTGTTAAATATATCATGAAAATGAATTGCATTAAACATGTCATTTTTATTTTTGACCCTGGTGGTTAATATTTAATATAATTATTATCATCTCTTAAAAAAGGTTTAACATTGTATTTATAACATAAAAAAAAAAATGTTCATATCAAAAAATTTATAATTTCTTTATTTTTAAGTCAAATAAATATTACACATTATATTACTTATATGTAAATTATTCATAAGTTATAAATTATTATAAATATACAAATCATATGAAAGCCAAACTTTCTTTAATGATTTAAATGAGTTAATGAAATATTCATTTACCATATTTAATATTTTTATATTATACATATTTAATTACACCATGTCTACATGTAAACATTGAATATCTTAATATGTAATTTTATATTTCACAAAATTGTACTATTTATACAATCAGTAATTGTAATTTTATAATTGGTTCATATAACAAATAAATTTTTTGAAAAACATAACACTTGTAAAGCAAGTTTCAACAATTTCAAATCATTAAAAATACAAAAGATCGATACGAATTAAGAAAATGCAATTCATACTAGTAATGGTGGTTAGAATAATTAGTTTGGCAATGATGAATCAGCTTCACTAGATGAAGACTTCGAAATTCAAATTATTAGCAAAAACTAAGGGATCATGTGCTCATATAATATTAGTACTTACGAAGAAAACAAATAAAAGAAATCTATTTGTGTTTGCAAAATTTTTTTGATTTTGACATATATGGTTTCAAAAGAAACATATAACTACACAAAATAAAAATGTGAAGTCCAAAAATAAAGAAAAATCATAGATTTCCAATTTGAATAGCACTTCTATAATTCTCATGTACAGAACCAAAGAGCGATACATTATAATTACAAAAGCTAAAATTCTAGAAGAACAAAATCGTCTGAACTTATTATTTTTAAAGACTATTACTACGTATGGAGAGAACAGGACGATGATTTTTCAGACGACATTACACATTTTTTTTCACAATGTTTTAAATTAGTCTTATCACATTATTATTACATAAATTTAAAAAAGTGTAAACAAAAAGTTTATATTGTCTTATCTTTTAATATTATATGTGGCACCACACATACTTATACACTATCATACTATTATTTTTTATGTATTCTATAATTTTTTAATCTATCTTTCAAATGCACTTGTTCATACTATTTACTTTTAACTAATATTTAATATTCACATTAATAATTTTTAATCATTATATATCATAAATACTAAATTTATTAATCAACTACTATTGTACTATATTATTATTCAAATGTTCTATTATTATTTTCATTTATACCACTGTTGTATATTTTATCATTAATTATAGCTTTATATTATCTTATGTATTTAAACTATTTTATTGATAATCTAATATTATTGTACTACTACTACATGATTAATATTCAATATTTAACTATATTATCGTAATAACTATTTTATGTCATAAAAATATTATTTTCATATCTATGTAAAAAAGTTGTGAGGACACAACACTTTCAAAACTAGGGTGGATGTCGTGATATGCTTAATACTTTGCATTACGCATCTCACAATTATCAATGAAGAAAGTANAATATGCTCAATGCTTTGCATTACGCTTCTTACGATTATCAATGAAAGATGTATAATTTGTATTTTAAATAACTTGTAAACAAACAAATAATTTATCTGTCATAACAAATACGATGTTCAACACAATTT